AACATGGTTAGGAAAGCGTTGATCAATGAAGCCTGGTGGTTGTTCCATGAAGACGGTATCGGTGAGTTGTCCATTGAGAAAAGCATTGTTAACATCCAGTTGATGCAAAGTCCATTTGTGCATAATGGCTAACGATAGAACAATACGAACAGTGGAAGCTTTCACTACAAGACTGAAGGTGTGAGAATAGTCTGACCCAGGAATTTGAGAAAAACCTTGAGCTACTAAGCGAGCTTTGTATCTTTGTATAGAACCATCGGGATTGAACTTTGTGCGGAAAATCCATTTGGAACCAACAACATTTGAAGCCTTAGGACGAGGAACTAATACCCAAGTATTATTTGAGCGTAAGGCGGTCATTTCTTCTTCCATGGCGGACAGCCAATGAGGATTTTTAGCAGCGGATTTAAAACCATGAGGCTCTTTGATGGTAAAAAGAGCCTGAAAAAGTGGCATTTTATCAAGATAAGTAAGGTCCACTTGATGTTTTAGTTTAAAGATACCTGCACGCGATCTAGTAACCATGGGATGTGTAGAGACCGAAGTAAATTCAGGTGTAGTGGGTGGCGATGGAGCTGAAGTTTCCGGTAATGTCGAGATAGCCGGTGACGAAGGAGCAGCGGGAACCGAGGGTGCTATCGGGGCAGCTGGAGAGGCTGCTGCTGGAACCGAGGGTGACGCATGCTGCTGATCAGCAGGAAATGAAACAGTGGGAGGCTGCTGATAAGCATCAGTAAGATGGTGATCGGGGCATAAAGAGCACTTGGTAGCGGGCTGTGTTCGTGAAGTGACCTTGGAAGGAGGTTCCGGTGGAAAAATAATTGAAAGAGGTTCCTCAAAATCCGAAAAATCCATCTTTTCATAAGTAGTGGAAGATATAACACCCGTGAATGGAAAAGTGAGTTCATCAAAGGTTGCATGACGAGTTGTATAAACACGTTGGGTTGATGGATCAAGACAACGGTAACCCTTGTATTGAGAGCTATAACCAATGAAAATACAGGATATACTTCGGGGTGCTAATTTGTGAGCCGAATAATTTTTTAAGTACGGGAAAACATGACATCCAAAAGTTCAAAACAGAGCATAATTTGGTGGTTCTTTAAAGAGAACTTCAAATGGCGACTTGTGGTTTAGAACTTTTGTAGGGACACGATTGATAATGTAGGTTGTTGTACTGAAAGCATCAACCCAAAGAGATGGTGGAGCACTGGCATTAAAGAGCATGGTGAGACCCGTTTCTGTAATATGTCTGTGTTTCCGTTCAGCCCGACCGTTTTGTTGCGGAGTATGAGGACACGAAAGACGATGATGAGTGCCATTTTCCAATAAAAGAGTGCGGACTCGATTGTTGATAAACTCTGTTCCACCATCACTTTGAAAATTTTTGAGCTTGTACGAAAACTGTGTTTGAACAAATGCTAGAAATGTGGTGAGGACACTAAAGAAATCAGATTTCAACCGTAAGGGATAAAACCATGTAAATCGGGAGTAATCATCTACAAAAATACAATAATATAAATAACCGTTTGTAGAGGGAACGGGTGCCGGTCCCCATAAATCACAGTGAATCAAATCTAGCACATGTAAGGATCGTTTAGAATTATGTAAATCGGGAGTAATCATCCACAAAAATACAATAATATAAATAACCGTTTGTAGAGGGAACGGGTGCCGGTCCCCATAAATCACAGTGAATCAAATCTAGCACATGTAAGCTCAAAAGGTAAGTGTTTGCTTTTTGAAATTTGACATGAATGACAAATACGAGGTTTAGGTAAAACTGATGTAACAGATAAACAACCCGCTTTATTTAATAAAGAAATAGTGTCAAAAGCAACATGTCCTAATCTAGCGTGCCATAATTCAAAGGATGCATATAGTCGTGAAGATTTTAAAGCTGCTACAAGTGCTCCATGTCCTTGCTTGAGTACATATAATCCATTTTCACATGTTCCTCTTGCTAGAATTTCCTTTGTTGACCGATTCTGAATGGCAAAAAACAGATTAGAAAACAAAACATCAACCGGAGAATCTTTAGTCAATTTGCTAATTGATATAAGATTCTTAGTAATATGGGGAATTACAAGCACGTCTTTTAATTGAAGATCTTTGGATAGTGAAGATTTACCAATGTGAGATATATGAGAAGTATTACCATTACCAAAGACAATATGATCACTGCCCATATAAGATGAAGATGATTCAAGATTAGTAGGAGAGGATGTCATATGAGCCGATGCACCAGAATCAACGTACCAATCTGGTGAATCACGTGTGATATGGCATTGTGCTTGGAATGCTTGAGCTAAATGAGCATTCTGGTTCGATCCTTGAGTAGCAAAAGTACTTAATTGAGGACAAGAGCTGGCAAAATGACCGTTTGTACGGCAAAGCTGACAGTGCGGTGGTCGTCGACCACGACCACGACCACTAGAAAAGGAATCACGACCACGGCTGCGACTGGTAGTAGTGTTGCCACGAGAGGGAACTGTAGAAGGAGTCACTGAGGGCTGTTGGCGATCTGCAGTGTAGGCAGCAGCTGGAGGAGAAGATCCGTGAATAGCTGTAAGGAATAACTCATGACCTTCCGCTTGAGATACAAGGTCACAGAATGAAGGTCGAGGCCTGATAGCACGATGGGCTGTGGAGAAAGTCTCGAAATAAGGACCAAGTCCACAGAGAAACCAATGACTTTTATCTTGCTCATCAACTGGGTGACCAATTGCAGCAAGTTGGTCGCAGACAGCTTTGAACTTGCGACCAAATTCAGAAATAGTAGAAGATCCTTTTTGGAGTTGCCTGAGAGAATCCTTGAGATTTTGCATTCGTTCTTGAGAATCATGACTGTAAGCAAGTTCAAGAGATCGCCAAATTTCGTGGGAGGTTTGAAGCCCTAGAATTTCAGCCATGGCTTCTTCAGATAAGGAAGACTGAAGAATAAGTAATGCACGCTGGTCTGCTTCCAGCCATGACGTGTAAGCAGGATTTGGAGAAGAGACTTCAGCAACAACTATGGTTTTTGGTGGTGGAGGAATCGAATCATCAACATAACCAAATAGGCGTTGATAAGAGAGAAGGGGCAGAAGTTGATTCCGCCATAACAGATCATTGGTGGAGGAGAGTTTGATAGTGAGCATGTACAGAATCGTATTGAGAAGAAGAGTGACATATGTGGGTTTAGAAGTAGAAGAGGCGTCGCCTGCCATGAAGAGGAGAAGAAGAGGAGGCGTGACCTAGACTGATACCATATAAGGATTATAATATTTTCCTTGAATACTTTTGATTATTATTCACATATATATAATACAGAGGATACAAAGATACACATGCCAATAAACTACCCTAAACATAAGGAAAATAAATAAAATAAATGTTATCAGATTATCTTGACAGATGTCAAGAGTTATCGCTAATACGACCGGTTGCTAAAAAATCAAAATTTCCAGTGGTGTGTTCTCTATTGGTATACTTCACACAAGTATTATATACCTAAATCTAACATCATATAATTAGGTACTATAAATTAAGTATTGCAAGTCAAAATGTGTACAGTCACCAATCCTTTTGACCAATGCATCACAGTTGATAATTTAATTTGTCAAAATATATTATATTTTTTCGAAATTACTTTTTTCAAGTGGCCGAAGCTAACATATTTTATGATTTTTTTCTTCATATAGTTAACATTTTTTCATGAATTTTGCTTTTCCGGTGTACATGTTTCCCAAAATATATAAAAGTTTTGCGAAATTGGCCTTACTTTTTCTTCAGAAAAATTGGTTGGTCAAGATGTCCGATTTAATTAGACTATAAGCAGATTATCAAATATCACTATATAATGTTTTTTTTAATAAAAAAGAAAGAATCCGTTGAGTTTCTAATGTATATAAAAGAATTGGGTTTAATTGGACAAATTTGTTGGTTGCTAATGAGTATAGAAACTAATATTTTTTATAAATATTTGATTTGAGTTAGGTTGTAAATGAAGATAAGCTTATATAGGTTTTATGTTATTCTATCCAAGACTAAGCTTTATATAGGTTCTATATTCTACTATATCGAAAACTACTTTTTCCGTGTAAAAATCTGCATTTGAACCCATCCTTGACTATTTTTATATGTAAAAATTTATGATATTCATTTACATTTAAATATGTAAAATGGTAATGTGTGTTTCTCCTCAAAAAAGCAAACGTGGTAACTAAAAATTTATTGTACTTACTTTTGTTTTCAATCCAAAAAATACTTATTTCAAGATTTTTTTTTATTTCGCAAAAATGAATTATTTTTTTCTTTTTTTATATGAAGTATCATTTTCAAGAAAAAAAAAATATATGTCATGGACTAATAACCAATTTTTTGCAAGATAAGTCGTAATAATTTCGTGGTATACATACATAATTGTTGGAAAGGTGGCTTTATTGCAAATGATGTTCCCATGTTTAGTATTCATCTGGTTAACTGATCATTTTCCTTATATTTTTCCATGTAGCTTTGGTTCGGATTATGTTAACATTAGCTAGGATCATTGGGATATTCTTTAGCATCAAGAAGAGGAAACTTATGAAGCTACGAGAGAAGTTTTTTGAGCAAAATGGTGGTGTGTTACTCAAAAAAAACTGAATTCACAAGAGGCTGCTTACACCGTGACTATATATAGCACCAAACAGCTTCGAAAAGCAACTGATAACTATTCAAATGAGCGAATTGTGGGGCGAGGAGGTTTTGGGGTTGTTTATAAAGGAGTACTGCCGAATAAACGCGTTGTAGTAATAAAGAAGTCTGTTTCAGTGGGTAAGACCGAAAAGGAACAATTTATCAATGAGGTGTTGGTAATAACAAAAATCATCCATGGAAATGTTGTTAAACTGTTGGGCTGTTGTTTGGAAGAGGAGGTACCGGTATTAGTGTATGAGTTCATTCTCAATAACACACTTTACCATCACATTCATAATGAAGAGGGTGGAACGAGTTGGTTATCATGGGAGAATCGATTGATGGTTGCTGCAGAAGCTGCATCTACACTTGCATACATTCATTCTCATGCCACCGCCCCCATCATACACAGAGATGTCAAGTCCGCAAATATATTATTTGATGATGACTTCAGTGCAAAATTGTCTGATATTGGTATTTCCAAATTGTTTTCTATAAAAGAAGAAAACGTCAACAATGTTGTTCAGGGCACACTTGGGTACTTGGATCCTGAGTACCAACACACAGGCAATTTAAACGAAAAGAGCGATGTGTATAGCTTTGGGGTGGTCCTTGCAGAACTCATCACCGGTAAAAAAAAACCCTTCTTGTAGAGAGTGTCTACCATGAGAAGTACTTGTCAAAGTATTGTGTCAAGTGCATGAGGGATGGAAACCTCAAGCAAATGGTGGAATCGAGATTATTAAATGAAGGGGGTATTGACCTTCAACATTTAAACGATACATGCAACACAGCTAGCGAACAGGTGCATGGAAATATCTGGTGTTAACAGGCCAACCATGAGGACTGTTGAACATGAGCTTGAAGCGTTAAGGAGGCCTAGTACGACACATCCCACTGTTCCACCTGAACAGACATGAAGAAATTTCTGGAACCATGATTCCAGAAATTCAGCCAGCAGATTGATAAACCCCCAACGATCTTTGAGAATTGAGATTGATCCGGTTCTTATTTGTTTTTAGAGTCTATCTTTAATTATGCAGTTTTTGTGTAGTGTTAGTGCTCCTTCCATGCTTTTGTTCTGTTATGGGGAGTAGTACCCTTTTTGGTTGGGTCGGGTGAGCTGGCACCTTTGTTTGGTATTTAAGTCCTTTTTGGTTGTGATGGTATATTGTTTGCTTGAGTTAAACCAATACATAAAGAATGGTTTAATATAGTTAGTAAATCATGTAAATAAGGCTTTTCAGTTAAGTTCTAGCTTTTCACAATTTTCCCTCATTTGCTTTTCTTTCCATTTCTCAAATATTTTTGAACATTTATCCAGATAATACCTCATGTGAAATAAAGCATAGATTATCAAATCTTGAAAATATAAATTTAGATAGCTAGAGTGACATATTTAAAGTCTTATAATTCAAAAATATAATAAAATGTTAATATATATTAAAAAATGTTACTTTTGCATAAGACTTTTATAGGATCCATATGCAGCACACGTGACAACTTAATCAACTCAGTTACATCTTCTTCACCTATAAAACAGATTATAACATTATATAAAGGTATGACCATGCTTCATAATACACATGAAGGTATCAAAGACAAAATCTTTTTAAAAAAATAACCTTCCAGTTCACTTTCATACAAGTTGAACATATGTTTTCCCTTCAAGGGCACTAGAGAAAGTATTTCACCAGACAAAAGTCTATATTTTCTCCTTACCTTCGATGGCATTCTAAAAAATTTGTTCACTAAAATCTTTGTTTGCTAACTCTAATCTATGAAAATATGTTGCTATTTCTTGCATCTAAATCAAAAAGGGTTAAATGCACAAAATAACAACTTACTTCTACTTACAAATATGGTAAAAAGAACTTTAAATGCAAAAAAAGCAAACTACATTGTTATTTCTTCTATTTAGAGCAGAAATTACTAAAGTTATAGTAAGAGTTGATTAAACTGTTTGTTTCCCAAGTGAAAAATATTTAATAAAACTAAAACATTTTTTGATTTTTATTTGCACCTTCAAGCATGGCTATATAACAAGAGCCCATGATATGTGCAAAAAGCACTCACTTTTGAGTTCATTTGAAGAACAAGAACCTTTCTCAGCTTCAACAACCACATGCTCACAATCCTGTAATAGAATCGGAAATTGAAATGGTAATGGTAAAATAGTCATTTACACTCATTTAAATGGTTCATGCAGTAAAAAGTGATGGGTTTTGAGCATTACAACATTCCTATGGTGCACATGCAACCCTATTTGCTTTGGATCTAGGTTTTTCTCAAGTTATACATGCAAATTAATTTTCCAAAGCAAAACCCTAATCTAGCATACAAGAAAACAAAATCTAATCATATTAGAGTTAGAACAATACCTTTCTTGTTGATAGCTTGATCCTGACCTTCAAGAGCTTAGTGCCTCAAGCGTTGCACCTCTAATGGAGTCACAAACACCACTTAGAAAAGGATGAACAAGAGAGAGGTGATTGAGGCTTCTTGAATTCGGCTAGGGTTCTCTAAGAATGCATAGGGGCCGAAAACCTTAAGCCAAAGGTTCCTTATATATATAGTTGAGCTGCTAGGGTTTTAGGTGGAAACCCTAATTCTCTGCTTAAGCATTACTTATCCATGGAATCCTTCCAGCAGGCCCCTAAGACGAAATTTCTATGGGCTTCCCATATATTTCTTCCACTCCTTCCTTTAGGAGTCCATCAACGCAACTTGCAACTATCAATGATTTTCAATATCAGTCCCCTTACTTTTAATGAATCTCTTTTGATCACTAAATTAATTCCAAATTAATTTCTGATCAATACTAATTAAACAATATGATTTCTCAATTAATATATTATTCTTATAATATATTAGTAAATCATTTATCAACCTCTTTCTCCATAATTCATCCTGTCAAGTTGCTATGGTGAAGGTAACCCAAAAGGACCATGCTACTATCAAATCAAGTACATACAAATTATAGTTATGGGCTTAGACACCTAATCCAACAGTCTCCCACTTTGATAAGTCTAATTACTATAACTACAAATATGACTTCAAAATCCGATTAGCAATCATAGCTCTTAAAATCCGCTGTCGAACTGACCTAGTCAATAACGCGTCCTTAAGATAAGGGATCATATAATCCTCCGTTCTACAAGATATCGTATGGACAAAGACATGGAACATAATCATTCTCAATGTCCAACAGTTTGTTTCCTGACTTCTGATTTGTTTGACAACGAACTTAATTGAGCACATCAATTCAGACATGACCGGGCCCGACACATAAGTTAACACAAAATCATCGAGGGGCCCAAGATATCGCTTTTACCCTCGTAGGATAAAAGGAATAGATAAACTTTGACTTATATGCGTGTACTATTTACTCGTCAAATCATACACAATAACACGTTTTATAACATCAAGTTACTGATGCGTTTACGCATTATCAATGCACAACCAACTCACAAACAACAACTCATATATCTTGGTATTGAAGATGATACGATATTATCGTCTCACAATTACTCGTGATAAATTCCATGAAGTGATTCACATGAGCGTGGGTTTAATACAATACTCAAATCTTATTTCCGAAGTATTCATGAACATTGTAGCAAACCTTTGCTATGTCTAAGCACTTAGACAGTCTACAAACCAATTTATGAAAATCTAACCTCATAACTTACTTCTAAAGTATGATCGACTATGGATAATTTGAATAATGTAATTATTCTGGAAGTAAAACATGCAAAAGTGAAATAATAGTAAACAATCGACACAAGATAGTAAACAATACTTATATATAAATCTCCATTATATAATCACCAAATGTCAATTACATTTATCTATTACAAGTTTCTAAACCATCTATTTAATCATTAAAACTAATATCGTCCTTCAAATCAATGCTCCTCGCATGTTGTAAGTGCTTAACCCTGCTCAGACCCTTTGTGAGGGGATCTGTTGGATTCTCTTCTGACGGTACCCTCTTGACTACAAGGAGTCCCTCTTCTACCCGATCTCTGATAAAGTGGTATTTTTTGTCGATGTGTCTAGATCTACCTTGATCCCATGGTTCCTTGGTTAAGGCAACCGCTCCTTCGTTATCATAGAAAATCTCTATGGGCTCCTTTATGGATGGTATAACTCTAAGGTCTCCAATGAAGTTCTTCAACCATATTGCCTCCTTCGATGCTTCGCTCGCTGCTATGTACTCTGATTCGCACGTTGAATCAACCACGATCTCCTGCTTGGAACTTTTTGTAACGCCCCGATTCCCGAGTATCAATTTATAGTTATAAATTCTCATGGTTTTAAGGTCTACTCGACGAGTTGGTGGCCTGACTCTCCGAGTAGCAGCGGGTTGGTCCGCGAGTTCAAGTGACCTACTCGCCGAGTCCAAGAAGGGACTCGACGAGTAGGAGTTGGCAGATGAAACCCTAAATTCTGGGGATTTGCACCTTATTTAAGGACCACTTATTCCCCTTATCCTCTCTTACTCACTCCCTTGAGTTCAGAAACCCTAATTCGTGGTTGCTCTCTATAATTGTGTGCTCCTTAGCTTGGAAGAGGGATCTTTGGAGTAAAAAGCTTGGAGTTCAAGAATTTTGGAGCAAGGGGCTGTTGTAGATCCGAATTCTTTTCCGTATTGGCATCATTTTGGAGGTAACAAGTTGTTACCTTGGCTCTCTCTTAGTTAGATCTCCTCATTATGGGTTGGGATTTTAGGATTTTGTGGTGGTTCTCCAATTTGGGTCAAGATCTGAGGTTGCAATCTCAGATCTAGACTCCTTTAGCCCCTCTTTGTCATAAAGTTCCATTCTTTGTTGAGCTATGGAATTTCCATTACCTTAAGCCACTCATTTAACTTGTTTTGGGCCATTATCACCTTGCATCCACGTAAAGTTTGCAACTTTACGTGATAAACATGCCCTAGGAACTCAGATCTGCAGTATGGAGTCTTTGCATGACCTAAAAAGCATCTGTATGGTTGAAGGATTGAAGGGACTCGGTGAGTCGCAAGGTCGACTCGGCGAGTCATATGAATATGGTCATGAACTCGACGAGTTGGAAGAACAACTCGGCGAGTCCGATGAAGATTGCCTTGGGCTCGGCGAGTCAGATGAGTGACTCGGTGAGTCGGCTAGGGTTTTCCCAACCTTTGGACACGTATGAACGCGGCGAGTTGTAAGGGGAAAACTCGACGAGTTGCCCAAGGAGTTTACGACCACTGACACTAGAAACTCGACGATTTACTCAAGTGACTCGGCGAGTTGGCGAGTTATGTCAGGAACTCGGCGAGTAGCTGAGAGTACTCGACGAGTTGAGGTCAACATGGACTGTTGACCTTGATAGTTGACTTTGACCTTGACCAAGGGTTGACCAGTTGACTTCTGAGGGTATTTTGTTAAATTGAATATTGATAGTAAAGGACATTGGTTAATATAGGTATTGGAGTTGGAGCTACATTTGGAAGAGTTTGACACTACCTTCCGAGCTACTTGCAAGGTGAGTTATCCTCACTGTACTCAAGGGTCTAAGGCACCAAGGCCGGCCCTTTGATTCGTATTTCGAATTGATATTGTTCTGATATGTTAGATCGGTATCCTGGTAGATAGGATGGTTATACGTTGGTATGGTATGATAG